GCGATATTTTGGCATTTTTAATATCCCAAGATGGACAATATGACTTTGCTGTAAATGCAGGGTAATCACTGTTTGAAACAAAAAAACAACAACTCGGTTTTTACTTTATTTCCAAATGACAACACAAACATATTACATTATACTTCTTTACAACTATTTTAAGAAATTTTTTTTTTTCTAGAGAAGGCTTTTGTTTGTTAGTTTAGAATATTCGTACAGAGCTACTCAAGGGCTATCTTCATATAACCATCCTCAATTTTGAACTGATAGTCTAGATTGAAGGTAGTTAATCAACAGCACCCAGCGCTAACTCTTAGACTATTCTAATGGAACAATGGGATTTCACTTTTATAGCACACCTACGGCCCCAATGTGCAGAGTGCGTTTTTTATGGTATCTTTTTTCTTAATAAAAGATTATTGTTTTTAGAACACACATTTTTTAACCCAGTTAAATTATTTACTGAGATATACTTGCACATGATGTAGTGGAAAGTTTAAGCAGCATTTTGATATGGATATTTCACATATCATGTTTATGGACTTTTTATAACATGTATATATTTTTTTAAGTACGTTGTTCATCTTAACTGTCCATATTGCTTACCACATTCACACAGTAAACATTTAAATCTATATTGCTATTGAAATATCTAATAATTTTAAACACAATTTTATAATTTGATTTTTTATTCAAGATTACGATTTAATATTTGTGATATCTTTGTTTTAACACATATACTTTTATGCTTGCCCCTTCCCATTTCTAGTTGTTTTTCAGCGAACCAGGAAGTTTCTCTAATCTCTCCTGTTACCGGTGCTTTAACAGCTCCCTCGAAGTCTCCAACTTTTATCAATCAAACGTAGTCAGTCTTCCTTTATAATGTTGCTTCCCTTTTCCATCTTTCAGGTCGGGACAAAAGTCGTTTGGATGAGACATTTACCGTTGTTGATTATTGAAATTATCCATTTGACTCTCTCTCTCTTTCTTTTTTTTTTTTTTTTTTTTTTTTAGCCAGACATTGCATGATTAATTTAAAAATTAAGTGAATATTAAAATTTGATCTCATGACCTAATTACGCAGTAGAAACCTTCAGTGTTATTAGTAATGATACTCAACTATTCGGGAAATAAGTCCAAATATATCTCAAAAACAGATAATTGATACGCGATTTCACAATCTTAAAGAAAAATAACTGTTGAATGTTTTCCTGATTGTTACTTAGAGCTAAATTATTCTCCAAATCTGTAAAAACAACAATTTTTAGTAAGTGCTCTAACAGATTCTATATTTACGTAAATCAGTTTCTATAGTTACATGCCAGTTTCTAGGTGGAGCAATATCAGTTTTTATGAGCGAATGTGGAGTTTCTATGCGTGCAACAAATGAAACTTATAGATCATAGTTCTCTGGGTGCTGTTTTTAAGTACAATGATGCGGCCGTTTGTAAAGTTAAAGAAACACGGTTTTACACATGATCAGATGAGTACATTCGTTCATCTTTTGAAATTCTTATAAATAAAAATGACGACGTAGATATCTGAAACTTGGTGTTACATTCACTACGGCGTACTGGTTGATACGTACAATAAACCAGTGGCAGGCAACAGTTGAATAACTTCATTTCAACTGATCTTTTAAGGCAACAACGGTTACGAATGATTTTTTCATAGAGCAAACACTTCAAATTGTTGCACTAAATGGTTAGGCGGAGAGCACAAATTTATGAGGTGACAAAAGACCAGAAGGAAGCAAAGATTACTACTGGCGTGGGGCAGACCCATTGTCTGGCCCACCGCTTTCCACCCCCACATTATAAGGTTTGGTGAAAGACTTACACTGTTCCTCTCATGTTCTTGTCAGTGGAACAAAGTGGTCAAGAATTTATTGCAAGGAATCTCACGTATTGTAGTTTCCTATTTTACCAACAGTCAAAAAGCAGTAAAACACGAGTTTTTAAGGACTCGGTTAGCCTTCAGAGAACTGATAAAACTGTTGTCTTTAAACACTGGACGGAAAAGTTTTGCAGGTACTATCTGAACGGTTCAAACATCAGTAATTGGAAGAAGAAAAAAAACTGTTCTGTATCACGCTTAAAAATGAGTATTACACTCTGTGTTTTTAAATATTTTAAGTGTGTTTTGTAAGTTTGCTTCTTCCTCTACAGTAAGAATGAAAGAGAGAGAGAGAGAAATAATAGAAAAACTGGGAGGTAAATTAGATAGCTAAAAGTCTAATACTCGATCCCCGTTGAGAACACAGCGTATTAAACAAAGAAACACTAAAATAAACTGGTTTAAGATAATACAGCCCTGAACAAGTTTTGTCGAATGGTGATGCAGCACTGTGCTGTTTTTAAGGTCATAAAACATTTTAGTTTAAAAAATATTTTACAAGACACTGAATTAGAATTTCCAAAAGTAACTCTATTTATTTGTTTGCAGCTTGGCTGTATTACACTTTTTTATATATTACACAAAAGTACTTGGATGTGAGCAAAAATGGGCCACTCGTGGCATAGTAGTAAGTATGCTTGGTCTGTGAATCCTGAGATTCGTGATTCATGGCTCCTTGACGTAAAAAAACGTGTTCTGCACTTTGTGGACATGAGTACGTTATAAGAGTGACTGTTAAATCCCACTATTCGATCAGACAATACTTGCTAAAGAGTTGAAGGTGGGTGCTGTTTATTAGCTGCCGTCACTCTAACTTGTCAGTTCAAAATTAGAGACGGCTTTATATAGCTTTGCGAAAAGTGCTGAAAGAAACAAGGAAGCGACAATAGCCTATTTTACGAGATGTTTTGTTCTTTACTGTTAAATTTATCTAATATTTTTCGTAACAATGTGACTTACAACTTTCTCATTTATCACTTTGTAAGTTTTATTCTGATATGATTATCAGTTTTGTCGTGAATATACAATTATCAAGCTTCTAAACAGATTACTCTCCCTGACATTTCACTGTATAGCTGATAAAAATTTCCAAGGTTGGGACTATGCATTTCAAAAGAATCTTGTTACAATTTTTAAAATGTGTACGACTGTGCGATGAGTGTTGTTTTTTTTTTCAGGCATTACGCTTCAATTAAGACTCTCTCATTCAGACAAAATTAAGTTCTTATGCTTTAAAAAATAAAAGAAGGTTTTTAAAATTAGGCATTATATATATATATATATTGTATGGGGGTGGCGGGCGATTACAACACAAAAGTAGCATATGCAAAATTAAATAAATTCAGCATGAACTGTAAAATTACACTTAGAAAGTGTTTCTTCTGTATACATTACTTTTGCTTTCTGTATTAATTATACGTACCTCTATAATTATTTTCTAAATATATTATGTACTAGAGTATACTAATATTTTATGTTTGTTTAAAATTAAGCACAAAGCTACACAATTGGCTGTCTGTGCTGTGTTCAACAAGGGTATCAAAACCCGGTTTTTAGCGTTATAATCCTTTAGTTTTACCACTGTGGCACTGGAGGGTGAGGGTTTTATATTTCATGTAATATTGCATGATATTATGACATCCTGAATTATTTTGCAGCAGCTTAAGTAAAACTTGTCCAGTTTAAGTTAACTCTTTCTTAAATTATGATTAATTGTAAAAATAAATAAACTTATGATTTTTTTGGTAAAAATTATCATTAATCAAGCACATTTTTTTTTTTTAGTTTTTATAAAACATGTTATTAAGGATGTCCTGAGAAATAATACACGAGTTTAACAAATAGGAAAATTTGATTATTTTTATATAAAACATTACATTAAGATGTACATTTCATGAGGAATAAAACACGAATTTATCACATGGAGAGGATTGCTATGACATTTAAAATATTACCCTTATTCGGTAAAACTAAAGATAACAGTGAAAATAATGACCAGGTATTGACTTCAGAAAAATAATTTCTTGCATTTCATTTCCATTTATTGCATTTTTTACTATAATATTTATTATATTATTGAGATAAACATTATTAAAATTATTAGTAATAATGATGATGTTTGATGTTTAAACACAAAGCTACACAAAGGGCTATCTGTGCTCTGCCCACCACGGGCATCGAAACCCGGTTTCTAGCGTTGTAAGTCCGCAGACATTCCGTTGTGTCACTTAAGGGCATTAGTAATAATACTAAGCATATGAAGATTGTTATTTTTATTTTTTTACTTTAGATATTTTCGTTTTGGTAAATGCCTATACAGTTTGAAAACCAATTTATCATTGGGATGTGTACAGTGTGATATTTTGAATTGAAAGTAAATAGAAATTCAATCAATGATGTCTAAATCCTCTGCTTTCTCAAAACGTTTTAAAGATTAGTTTTACACAATTCAAACACATGACTGATGTATGACTTGGCATCCAAGTCTTCACTGAGAAATTAGGCTTGCAGTGTTCTTCTTGCACGAGCTAGGCGGATATTGTCGATTTACAAAAGGGATGGAGAGACTTGTTTACCCACTCTGATAGGTATGCTGTTTGAAAAAGTTTTCGATCTCTTTCACTTGGTGCGGAAGTTAGGATAGGCGTAAATCACAAGCAGTCCTCTTCCTCGTAGATATACTTTTTTTTTCATGCTCTGAGATTGATTGATGACCCATTACTCGAGTAATGTCAGTAGCGGAACTCTTGTGCGGATCGGTCAGAAAAGATCCTCGGTATGCCTTCAATTTTACAGTTTAAACTTTACTGATCCTCCCCTTCTGCGCTGCTTATACCCAGTGGAAATGGAAAGAACGTTGCCTCATTAAGACACCAGCTATCAGTTTGCAAAGCCGTGGGTTTCCTCCCAGATCACGACAGGAGGTCGTGACAGTGATGGATAACACCTTGATGACCACTGGATTATTTTAATTTCCTGTGCAATGGAAAGAACATGTAATGCCTAACTTTATTCTTTTTTACTGATTTAAATAATCCTCGGAGGAAAAGTAGAGAAAGAATTGTCTGGATATGGGTTTCAATTGATTTTTTTTTCTTTTTCAGAACCGAGCAGCCACGTTTGTTCAACATGTAAGCAGAGCTTCACTTCAGCATGGCTACTAGTTCAACATGTTCAGAAAATGCACGGCTTGAAAATCTACGTAGAGGCAAACAACAAAGAAAGGATTTTAACAGAAGTTCCAAGATCAACACCAGTATCATTTTCACCCACGAATACTTCTTCCCCTCTCGCCATTATTCCTGTTAGCCAAGAACAATCAATTCCCCTTTCCGTTGGCCTAGATGCTACTCCATTTCCAAATCTACAACTTCCCCGCATACCCCTGGGTGAACGACAGTTCGGCCCTGCGCTCAACACCCCCAACTACCTTTCTCGTCCATCTAGTCATGGATTCCGAATGGATCTCATTAGTGATCATCACTACCGACTAAATCATCTTGCAGGAATAGGTCTCAATCCTTTTGATTCGCATAGCCCATTTGATAGAAACCGTTTTGATAGACCACGAGGACCTCATATAGGTTTAGGACTTGAATCACACCTGGATTTTTATTCTCAGAGACTTCGACAGTTAGCAGGGGCAACAAGTCCTAATTCAACCCCTTCTCGAAAAATTACGTCTCCATATTCTCATTCCTTGACTTCCAACCAGCTCTCCCCTCACCCTTCTACTCCTTCAAGCACACCTCAGTCAATTTCTGCTCCAATATTGTCTCAGTCTCTGTCTCCCATTCCAAGTCAGAGGGCTTTTGACCAATCAGAATCGCCCAAAAGTAAGTCTTGTGAGTTTTGTGGCAAGTCCTTTCGATTTCAGAGTAATTTGATCGTACACCGCAGATCCCATACAGGAGAAAAACCGTTCAAGTGTCACGTTTGTAATCACGCTTGTACTCAAGCTAGTAAGCTGAAACGGCACATGAAAACTCATCGAAAGAGTTCTCCAGATTCAGCAGAAAATACAAGTGTATGCTCAGGAAGGTCTACTCCAGATTCAACTAGTAAAGACTGTGGGACAAATAATGTTGGAGAGGACGAAGACGGTTATGAAGAGCAAGCCGAAAATGAGCATGAAGAACTGGAAGAGGAGGATGAAATAGAAGAAGATGATTCTGAAGACTTAACAGCTGAAGACTTGACAACGAAAGGGCCCAAAAATAACTCCTCATATCTTTGTACTGGAGACGAAAATGGTGAGAAGAGTTCCAATATCGAACCTCCTATGATACCTCAAGAAAAACAGTCTTTGCTGGGAGAAGTTATGGAAAAAATTGGACTCAACAACATTCAGCAATATAATGAGGCCTATAAGCAAGCTCTGGAAGAAAACAGAGTTGGGAAGTCTTTAATAAAGAAAGAGAGACCGTCTTCTGCACCAGTTGACAGGTCCCCTTCAAGAAAGTTTAGCATTTTACCTGAAAATGGGTTGGAACGATCATCTAGGGAAGAAGGCAATAATGCCCTCAGCCAACCTCCACTTAACTTAGGTAAGAGTAATTTACGAGCTTTTGATACCCATTTTGAAGAAACTAAGCGGCTAAGGCTCGATTTTGGAGACCACCAGCGAGATAATCTGTATGCAGGACTTTGGCTACCTTCTGTAACCTCCAGTCGCCGTGACCTTTTTTATGGGGGTGTAACCTCTTCAGAACCTGATCACAGATCATCCAGTGAAAGTGCCTTGATGGCGGTGACGTCCAACCTTCCAGGAACTAGTACCCCTACATCAACCCTTCCCTCCAAACCTAAAGAGAAAGGTAGAAATGACACGTGTGAATTCTGCGGGAAAGTATTCAAGAATTGCAGTAACTTAACAGTCCATAGGCGATCTCACACTGGAGAAAAGCCGTACAAATGTGAATTATGTAGTTACGCATGCGCACAGAGCTCCAAACTGACACGACACATGAAAACCCATGGTCGGATGGGTAAAGATGTGTATAGATGTCGCTTCTGCGGAATGCCGTTTTCAGTTCCCAGCACTCTGGAGAAACATATGAGAAAATGTGTAGTCAATCAGAACGCTTTCCCAACAGATAGGGATACTGATTCTAGGGACAATAGCACCTCAGGTATATTAACAGAAAAGGATTCTGATTGTAGGCAAATGAAAACCCCAAGTATAACAACCGGTAGAGATTCGGACTCAAGGGAAACTTCTTGAAAATGGTCAAATGTTATGGAGCGCTTGAATTATATATTTCCCAAATTTTGAAATTTTGTGTGTGTGTTGTGTTTGTTTTCTATAAGGCTGTGAGTTAGAATGTAGAACAGTATTTAAGTATCAGCATTTATACATGGTAGCAAAAAAAAAGCGGCCATAGATGATAGGAAATATGCTGTATCCCAAACTGGCCAAAGGATTGTCTTATATAAGTGCTGTCGGCATGAACAAAAAGTATCATTATCGTGGTTGCGCGATATAAAATAATTTTGGTAAAACCGATAGAAATTGTTTAGAATATATCAACATATATCTGTTGTATGATTCCGAAAAGAAATCTTGCTAAAAAAATATAAAACTCTTTGAGTTATTTTCATTACTCATAGCATTGGTTTCACGGATTTACACGCATGCGTGTTTAGTCCTTTGTCAGTTAGTTAATAGTAAGTCACTTCCCTTATACCCTTTGTTAAAGATGTTTTGAAAGCTAAAACCCTTGCTAAGCCTTTAGACATTTTGGACGTTACCTCTGGTTTAAAAACAAGATTGATGTCTGAAATAGTAGTTTAACCTAACGTCATTTCTGGGTTTGACAATCAGGTTAAAGTCTTTAAACGTAATTTACCCCAGAGTTGTTAAGTTAATAGAGTAAGAAAGTGATGCCTACTTGTGTTAAAATATATTTTGACCCTCCACTCTTGATACGTGCATTGTGTGAACTAAATGTTTACTTAGTTGATAAAAATAGTCAGATAATCTTTGAAAATGGCGGGAATTCAGGTTTTCACTTGGTTTTTGTAAGTGCCTAGATGTTGGAGGTTACAAACCTTGTATCGAATTTAATACTTGAGATACTAAAGAATTACATCTAGGAGGCACAGGCGAGCTCTCCGTGTATAGCACAAAACTATTTATTTCGCTCAAAGTGATGACAAGCCTCAGTTCCTGCCATTTTGTATTTGTAAAACTAGAGAGAGAGAAAAAACAAATCTTACCATGTCGACTCAAAACACTAATACAACTCACTGCCTTCTGTTATTAACTCCATGTCCAGGTGAGTGTTTATTTTTGTCTTCATCCTGAACTTATGTCATCAAAATTATTAAAGTGTACGGCCTATTTTAAACACTGAAGAGTAAGAATGAGGAAGGCTCATTCCATTTTGTAATTTTATGCATAATGAGAAAACTTTTCCAGCTCTTATTTCAGATTTGAATTTATTGCTATTCGACACTCAGTGTTAAATAACGTATCCATAAGAACACCTTCCAGCTGCCTTATATTTTAGTAAAATAAAACAAATCATTTGTATCTTTCAGATATAAAAGTGCATTGACTCACCCGTGTTTTTTTTTTATACAACAGTACGTAAAACTTGAGTTTTTATTATTGTTTTTTTGTGCAGTTAATAACACATTTTAACGGGTTTTTATGTTTTTAAAAGTATATTACCACAAGCAATAAGTCTACACAAGACTACTGAGTATGAAATATTACATTAATTTAGAAAATACTTCTGATAAACTGTCTTTTTTTTGTTTGTTGTTTGTTTATTTTTTGATGTGTGGGTTGCTGTATTCATTTTGTTCGTGAAAACCGGTCTTTGAGAAACAAGGGACCTAATTTAAAAAGAAATGAAGAGAAATGAAAGAAAAAAACAACACGTGTTTTGGCCCCTTCTGTTATGTTCTTTCTACATAATGAAACCTAAATCATTTTTTCATAAGCATCCATTAGGCTAATATTTAATTTAGTAAACACCCTTGTACCATTTGTAATACGCATCTGTTAAAAAATGGTTTCCAGATGTCTTGAGTAGAATAAAAATGTATATACCTGGTAAATTAGCTCAATTTTCCCACAAAAAAAAAGTTTGAAAGATGATGTGCGTATACCGGTTTTCTCGAAATAAATTTATAAATTGGTTACACACACACATTATAATATAAATAATACGGAAGAGTATTTAATGAATTGAAGGTTGTAAAATATTAAAAAGTGTTGTTGTTTTACCCCATTTAGTTTTTGTGGCATTTGTGTTTCAATATATGAATATGGTTAGTCAATTGTTGCCGAGTTAATATATGTGGACTGTTGTTTTAAGGTTAAATTGAACAAGAGAACTTTAACGTTGGAGCTAATTTGAGCGAAGCTACGTTTGTACAGACACCCGGCCTTTACGTTTGTGTTGTTAAGAGAAGAATTGAACTGTAAGTCATCTGTGATCAAGTCTGTTTACATCATACAAATGTTCTTTCTTCCAACAGTCTATCAAAGAAAGGCTGGTATTTATATCTGGTGGTGTGGAAAGTGAAGTATGTCATGGAACAAAAGGTATCACAATATTTCCCGGAAACTCGAAGATTTTGATGTAAAAATATCATCATATTTCTCTGATTTTCGTCGGTTTCAGGCTTTACACATTACGTGTGGCAGCACTAGTCCGACTATACCTTCACCCAAACTTGATGTGACGACATCAATGCTTAAATTATAAAAAAAAGAAGACATAATCAGAGGTGTCTAGTGCCTTTTGACGTAACATAGAATAACAAAGTATGTACGGTTCATACAACATCTTTTGTTTTGTGTATGTTTTCTAAGATTGTCTGTATGAATAAAAACCTTAGCTACTACGATACCTGTTTTTTTTTCTTTTTTGCATTTACTGGTCATTTTCAATTTATCAGCCTTGGCCAGTCTTTAAACCGGCTATTTTGTTGTTGTGCATTTCAAATAGAAGTGTTTTATCCTTAATTATCGTCAAAAAGCGTGTTACTTCTGATTACAAACTTAGTTCATTAATTGAAGAGTTATATCCCAGAATAATAGCCAAATGTGTTTTCTTTGTTATTTTGATTTTCATTACATTTGATTTTCGTGCATTCGGCGTTACTCAGGGGCGCCAAGATCTTGCAATTTTAAGAACTGACCTTTAAAACCCTATTTCATTCTGTGCACCACTAATGTAAAGATGAGCCACTTAATGAAAATATATTTTAAAGTTCCTTGTTTTTAAAAGCTGTGAAAATGATACTATGAAAAAAATATTAATTAATATCACTAGATGATAATCTGTTAAGGACTGCTAATATTAAAATACAAAAAAACCTATAACATACACCATGTAGAAATATCACCTAAATGTTCTTGACTTGTCTGTTTTTCCAACTACAGTATTTTGACTTGTTTCATTATCTATAGTTGCCTTGTTTTGTTGTGCTGATGCAGAGTCAAGACCACGTGATATCATTAAAAGATGTGTGAATATACTTCGTGTATTATAAAGTAGGAATTGATATATATTGTTCAGATTTGGTGATAGCTTTACGTGTTTAAAATCAGATGTTAAGACCCAGTAACCCGCACATCTTGGTCTTTGATATTGATTTGTACACTTAACACTCTTAAGTTTTAGGTTAACTTACTTGTGCACTTACACTCATAAGTCTTAATAAGTTAACTTATTATACGATTCTAGTTTCTTTTATTTCATCTCTATATAATGTAGCTGTTCAGCTGAGATCCGGTAAAGAATATTTGCTGGAATCAACAGATCCCAGGCTACAGTTAGCAGCTGTTTTAGTAACCACGGCTCTTCAGAGGGCCTAGATAATTTTAGTTTCTTCCAGAAGTGACAAAACCGAAACTCAAATGTGTTTCGGCGTTGCTGAAGACGTGTCAATTCCTGATAGACACAAAAGCTCAATTTAAATATTCATTGTTACCATGGCGACAGTAGAGATACGTATTTTCTGTAGAACTGTGTGCTTTGAAAATATTGACGACGATATAATGTTTGCACTCTGGCGGAATTTTAATAGGATTGTTTTATTCTATTTATCGTCGATTTGTTTATTCTTGTATTGAATGGTTTATCCTGCACATGTTTTATTTTAACCAATGTTACTTTAACTGGTTGAATATAACAGAATAAGTTTTGATTTGTAATTTGTGATAGTGTTTACAACTGGTTCAAAGGTTGCTTTGTGTTTTATCTTGTTGTATTCCACGTTAACAATCATCGGCGGGTGTGATTTACCAGGAGTGTTGTATTGGGCTTGCACAACCCCGTGTTTTTCCCGTGTTGACCAGTATTATAGGTTTGGTTGTTCAACTCATGGCATGCATGTTTAATGTATATTAATATGTTGTGAAAACAAATTTTATTTATGAATCGAAATTTATAAATTAAAGTCTTGCTGAAATGGTTGTTTTATTTGTGTTTTCTTTGAAATAAACCAAGCCACAGTTATGCAAGTAAAAACACGAATTTGAAAATATTTCAAAAACATTACCATCCTAAAAACAGAGAATCGATCAGCCTGCCGAATTTAGTGATGTTTAAAAAGTATGATACCCGATTACCACGTATCAAAACAATTATATCTTCGACTTTAACTTTTGTGTTATATTTCTGATCAAATTATATTATGTTTCTTGTCAACTGAGTAATTTATCTTGTTTGAAAAATAAATGATAATGATTTCTATTTTTAAAAAAGTGATAATCTAAAGAAATTAACCCACTTTCTTGCCATCTCTTATTAATTTCGAATTTGGGTTTCACTCTTAGGTCTTTACATTGATAGTTAATGTTTTAAATACTTTCTGTTGTAGTTTATGCAACATCAAATGTACATTATTGAGACACAAACTGAAGCAGCCACATGCTCAACTGTAATGTTTTAACTCGTTGTTATTCGAGGGTTTTCTGATAGTTTCTCTGCAATAATGTATGTAGATGTATAAACTGAATTAAATGCAACTTGAAGGTTTTGTAATTAACGTTAGCTATGACAAGCATAACAGTCAGGAAAGACGTCTCACATACAAACACAAGACACCACTGAGAAAAGGTCCTTCAATGTTATTGGACAAGATTTTTACGGTGGTCTTATCACAACACGTCCTACCTAACAGGTCAATTACTCGACTCTGTGAAACTTGTTACGTGACTGCCTAGAAGTAGATTCAATTATAGTTATCCGCTTATTTAAGATACTGAAATGAAAAGTATTACCATAACCGGCGGAACCGTGAGTTCACTGAAGGGCACGTGGCCTCCAACTTTGATTCGGTAGCGAAATCCCCCCTTTAAATAGGGAATAGAGACCTGTGTATAACTATCATGGAAAGTTGCTGTATCAGTTTTGAGTTCAATGGTCACGGTTAACATGGCAATTAAAGTGTCCCCCCCCCCGAAAAAAAAAGAAAATTCAAATGTGTTCCGCATCCTATGAATATTACGTTACATGCAAGAGGCAGGTTATATTACTTATGGATATAAATATTCATTAAAATGGTTGAATTGCTGAAGAATCAGAGGCATATAAAACAGTTGCATAAAAGTTATGTACATAAATCATTGATATTCAGTTAGGGATTAACGAGAAAATTAATGTTGATGAGAAAAATTATTTTCTGTTTTAATCGGGAGGGTAAATGATAAATGTTGATTATATTTTCAGTTTTCTGGAATTTTATGTTCTTGTCAACAGCATGCTGTGATAAAAATATACATCGTAACAATGAATTGAATATTAGATGACAGACATAGGCGCCAAAGCCATAGATACGGCAGAAGGGGCAAGTGCCTTTATTAACAACTTTTATTACCCTCCCCACTTTCCAACAAAGTTAGGTTAGTCATGATGGCAGATAAAACATTGATACAGTTTGTTCATCAGCGTATTTGGAGTCGAGGTACTTACTTCACTGTATTGACAGCTTTACAGATCGATAAGAAGGAATAGATAACCAAATTAAGCTAGAAACCTCATTTTTACAACACAAAAATGCATATGTAATTCCGATTTGCTTATTAAATCGCTGAACTGAAAAAAAACAACAACAACAAAAAACGAATATTACAAGATTTTTGGCTGGAGCCCGAAAATTTTTTTTAATAATTAAGTTATTTAAGAGATTTTATTTACCACAACGAAACAGATAAAGCATTTGTCATTTGCATGGCAGTTGTAATTTACACAGGATAGGAAAGATTTCACCTTTTCATTAACGGGAGGATTGCCCCCTCGAACATCATAAGGAATATTATATTTCTCATTAGAGTCTAAATTACCCACTGCCTTATTACGACCCAGCTCAAGACAAAACTCAAAATGTATAAAGGCAAGAGCTTTTGCAGAGGACATAGCAATCAAACATCCACCACCTCCCTGAACACTTGCTCTGTTGCACTCTGTTACAAATATTGTATTTGCATGAACACTTTAAACCACAAAAGTTTTATTCACACTGACTATCTCTTATCTCCTTTTTCCAGATATAGGTGTTTAGTTATGAATTTATTTGTTATCTAAATGTGCAAAACAAAGCCTGTTTTCACCATGTGAAACGATGTTGTGTAAATGGGAAAAGCAAGACCAGCTTTAAAAAAAAGGAATGAATGAGTCAACATTGTCTAAATAGGTTTTAAAAAAAATCTTCAGCTTTCCATATATAACAGTTCAGGTATGTGAATCAACTTGACATAAATATATACAAAATCGACATTTTTCCGTATATTTGTTTGTTTGTAGTTACGCACAAAGCTACACAATGGGCTATCTGTGCTCTGCCCACCACGGCTATCGAAACCCAGTCTCTAGCGTTGTAAGTCCGCAGACATACCGCTGTGCCACTGGGAGGCTTTCCATATATAACAGTTTAGGTATATGAATCAATGTGATATAAACAGGTAACAAATCGACACTTTTCCATACCTAGCAATTTAGATATATGAGTCAAAGTGATATAAATAAATATACATAAAATCGACAGTTTTTCAGATAGAATAATTTATTTAGATATACTAGAAAACGTGACATAAATAGTTTGCTAAATATACCAGTTTAGGTTTATGAGTTAACTTGATATAAATAGATAGAAAACGAAGTTTCCAGATATAACAACTTAAGAACGGGTCAACATGATTCAACTTAGTAGAAAATCGTCACTCTTCCAAATATGACAATTTAGGATACGATTTAAATAACATGGTTTAAATGGGTAGATGATAGTCAGTTTTCCAGATATAACAGTTTATGATATGATTTAGATGGGTGGAGAGAAGTTATTTTTATGTTTGTTTTACCACAACGTAACGAGCTGGGTATAAACTAATGTCTTCCAAATTGGTCAAAATTAGATTCGCCCGTATAGCAAATGCCGAAAATAAGACCAATTTAGGTAACTTCAATTAAATTTGTTTAATGAATAGGGATTCAATGGTTCTTAATGTGTTTTCTTTTTTCTTTGAAGTTGCCAATAGTTTTTGAAATGGCACTGGCTTGTCGCTGGATTAATTGGGTGGTAGCTACAGAAGTTACAAGATGTTAATCTATCTTCTATGATAGTTAGGCCTTATTCATTTTTTTCCAGTAAGATATATATTATCGTATTTAAGTATTTGAGAAAGCATAAGAACCTGAAATCAGAATTTTACATTACTCTAGTTCTGTCAAACATATAATTTATCAGTTGTGTTTATTATATTCTGAAATTATACTGGGTATGATAAGCCATATTTATTTCACATACAAACAAAATAGTTGGTGCAATCACACATACACACAATAGGGTTGGTGCAAGTAAATCATATTTCAATACATTTACGTTATTTAATGCTTCAT